CACTCGACTAAACCTCTGATCTCGTAGGAACTGAGTAGATCCGTTGTGCTTCGTTCGCGCGGGAGTCCGTGTGAAAAAAGCAGAACGGAGAAGAGATCTTAAGGAGGAAACTGGTCGGTCCGGACCGGCTATAGGGCATCCGATCTCGAGTGAAACAAAGGCATGAGCCTCATGCCTTTGTCTTTTAAAATTTCTTCTCAATTTCTTCAAAATTTCTTCAAAATTTTGAATTTCAAATTAACGTATGCCATGAGAGTTGTAAGTTGGACGGTGGAAGCGTTGCCGTCTGATGTCGGTTCCTCCTCGTGGTGGACGGTGGAAACGAGGGTTTTACCCTCGGCTAAACGCCGACAAAATTGGTGCTAGTTTTGGTAGTAATACACAGGGGTCGATACTTCAGTCTATTTGATGTTTCATGACCCCTGGTAGCACCTTTTTCAGATGAATACATCTTTGACTTATGGTTTTTGACCATTCTCACGATTTCTATAACTTATTCATTCATCTTATTGGTTTCTATAATATATTTCAGGAGACAAATAATTATATGTCTAGAAAAAACACAGATGATTAACAAATAAAATATCAGAACATACGAATTAGAGCATCTTAGCTTTTTCATCAATACGATTTTGATTTTGGGGCTAAAATGCTCCTTTCTCAAATATAAATTTAGGGGTTTTGTAATGACGAGCGTCCAAAGATTTGCCATTGATTTTGCGAAGAAATAATTTATCAATTGATAATCTGTTGGAGAAGAGGAGGAAGAGAAAAATAAAGTAGTAGAGAGAGAGGAGCAGAAAAATGAGAGAAGAAAAGAAGGTAAGGAAAATAAAGGAGGAGAGAGAGGAGAAAAATGAGGAGAAAGGTGAGGAGCAAATAAGGAGAAAGTTTTGGAAGTACACTGGGGTTGATATTTTTCGACTCTGAATGTCCTATCAATTATTTCGACTTCAAAAGTCTGGAAAGTTCTTGTTATCTACAGTTTCTCTGCTTTGTTTTTATTGCTTTTTTTTATCGAAAACTTGAAGTTGGTGAAAATTTTACGAGAGAGCACTATCATTTCCGGTTCATCCATAAAATAACGTGTCTATCAGGAATAGCAAGTCTATTTTGCAAAATATAGTTCAATCCATGTTTCATGCCAAAATTGCACTTGTAACACGATCCGCGCGAGAAAATTATCGACATCAACTCAGGAAGAACACCGTATGAGCCTTCAGACGTGGCTACATTTCCTTCAATAAAACCTTACTTAACGGGGAAAATCGTGAATTTGAGACACGTGGTTGCGTGGACAAATGAGATAAGTATTAGACGAAGTGGACCGAGTTCATCAGAAAGAAACCAACATACATTAAGTTGGACGAATTTATGCTAAAAGGAACTATGTTACATGCAAATCCTATGCATATAATTCCTTTTAGCATAAATACGTCCAGTTGATACTGAGAAAAGTAGGTTTCAAGTTTTATTCTTGCATAAGGCTCGATGTAGAAAGTAAATTTTCTTTTTACAAACTAATTTCTGTTCTTCGACTTTCAGTTTTTGGCAGGAGGTAATATACGGCTGGTGGAACTCGAAAACATTCTTAACTCAATTTTTTCGAAAAAGTGAGTTGGTTCCTTCCTGATGAACTCGGTCCAAGTAAGGGCCGCCCAAGAGATAGATTCAGTTCACCATTATCCTCCTTAGTCAGTTTGTCTGGAATTCTTAGCCATGCGCATTCCCTGACTCAAAAGAGATCATTCTCTGATGAAAAACTGAAGTTTTCTCGCACTTCTCCGCAATTTTCTCGGTGAAAAACTTTTTAATTATTCGGAGTTCTGGGTACGATTATATAGATTTTACTCCCGATCTTCCGGCCGATTCTTTGGCGCACATTGAAATCTATAATTCCAAAAACGTTCCTGGTGTTAGTAAAACGACGTGCTCCGTCAGCGAATAGTTGCAAACTTCCTGTCAAAATTAATTTTTTCTCTGGGAAACTGGTCTACGTAATTTCTTGAAACTTTCCTTGATTTTGCTCCACTGTTAGCAAAACATTCTGTACGAATTTCAAGCTAAGAAGTTGGTTTCTCTTCGAAACAATAAAAAAGGAGCGGAAAGTTCAAAAAATCGCAATACAGACGCACATGATTTTACACTTTGGCCATAGAAATGCTCTAGGGATATGATTTCTCGACGTCATTTTTCATTAGATCAGTTCACTGGCTATTCTCCAAAGTTGGCAACACTATTGTCCTCCAATGAAATGTATGCAAGACAATCGATTCTCGGTGAGGCAGCTTGCCTCCCCTAAAATCGATATTTTTAATGGATTTAAATAGAGGAAAAACAACGTTGTTAACTTGCAATATTATCGCTGGATCGAATCAGGCTCGGACTGCAATCTGCAATTGGCAGATACGCCCTCTTAAAGAGACATTTCAGCTAAATTAGGCTATTGATGTCTTTCCTGTACTCACGCACGATTATTCGTAGCTGTTGCGGTCTAATCCTTCACTTCACTCCCATTGTTTCTTCCTCGTTTTAAACAACTCGCCTTCAATATATCGATAGGCAATGTGAGCGGCTTGGGAGCAATAGAGGGGCTTGGAGGACGGCGCAAATAAATGCAGGTTTTACTATTCCGAGAAATACGTGTTTGAACTATCGAAATTACGTGGATCCTTATGACGGAAAGAAAGTTCAAACTGAGTTTTTCATGCTTCAAAATAAGAATTTGGAAACTAATTTTTCACAGAATATGCATTAAGACTAGTTTAATGTGATATCAATAATATTTCCATTTTTTAAAAAACTGCACTTATGTGCCTTGTCCTCCAAGCTCCTCAATACTAGTAGCCTGTAGCACTTTTGAGATGGGTGCTCATCAGGCTCGGACTGGCCATAAGGCCAATCTGCCATTGGCAGATACGCCCTCTTGCAGCGCCAAAAACGTGCCCCTCTGACAGATAGCAAGACAAGGAGAGTTTTTTTGGAAATAATGGTGCTTGGATGCGTCTTGTGTCGTTCATTTTGTATATTTTCTTTAATTTCAGAAATCAGTCGGTTACTAAATTAGTTCAATTTTACAATTTTTACTCTGTGTGATTAATAAACTTAGAACCTGAAAATAGTGTGAACTTGTGTTGCTTTGCCGAAATTTTCTGAACCCCTCTCCACGTAGGTGATGTCCTACCAGGAAATACCACATTACGCTCCTCTAACCAGGCAAGGGTCTACGCCCTCATATGGGAGCCAGTCCGACCCTGGTGGGCAACACTATTTTCCTCCAATGAAATGTATGTAAAACAATCGATTCTTGGTGAGGCAGCTTGCCTTCCCTAAAATCGATATTTTTAATGGATTTAAATAGAGGAAAAACAACGTTGTTAACTTGCAATATTACCGCTGGATCGAATTTCTGAAAGAAGGGCGAAAGGGTTAGTCCGAAATGTTTATTTTTTAATGCAGTATTGATCTTTTGAGGACTTTAGGAGTACTTGTCCATTTTGTAAAATTCAAGACTAATTTATTTCAGTAATTTTAACACTCAAATGTCGACGCAGGTAGCCGGGAAAATCGATATCTACCGGTATCTCTGATGAGGAAGGTGAAACAAATTAGATATCTTCACCAGAATGATGCCTCCGAGATGAAATTCAAGCATGTGCATTGCAAATTGATGATATTTGACCAAATTACAATGAAAATTTTTCAAAAAACATCTTCATTCCTTATGTTACACATTGCAAACATCATTATTTTCCCACTGAAGAATTTTAAGGGGACCAAGTTTCCTCAGTGTCCTTCCCCCCTCCCATCAAATCAGAATCTGTAATGCTTCAGAAATATCGACAAAAAGTTTACAGTAATAATATTTTATTATGTTCGAAACATTGTAAAAATGCTGCAAAAATATTTTAACAATATAGTTATAAAAACACTTTTTGATTGCCGACAATATTTCGTTAACATTTCATAAATATTCACGATGTATATTTCAAAATATTATTGTATATTTGTATTATTGTAAGTATTATTGGTGTGATGTATTTACAAAATAATATCGTAACATTTTTTTTATATTTACACAATTTTGTAAAAATAATTTTCTTTAATTTTCCTGGTTGGTAGCGCACTCTTGTGAAGGTGTTTAAATATTTTTAGGAGCTAGCCCCATCACCCATTCCCCCCTCCCGATCACCCTTACACCAAAGGGTTTATTCGAAGTCTTTTAAAAACACTCCATTCAAAAACTACCCAATTACGACGACTTTATGACTGTCCGATGAAAGCTTGCGCCCCTTTGCTATGGGGTCAAGGAACATTGCCTCACAACGCGTTCATGACGAAGTCAGCATGGATATGAAAGGAAAGAAAAGCACGGCTTTCATGCAGAAAACAAGCTGACGTCATAACGCGGCTACATGGGTTTGAAAATGCTCGCAACGAGAGAGCGCGCCAGAAAGGCTCTGCTTAGAGCACAGAGCCCATTCTTTTCCTGTCTCGCCTGCCGAGGCCTTTTTGTCGCGAGGTGTGAAATTTCGCGTTTTATTTATTCACCTTTCGAAGCTCCAATCTCCCCGCTCGTGAAAAGCGTTTCTCTAGCTCCCGCCTATGACGGGTATTAGTGAGAGACGCTGATTTACATAGGCACACAATAGAGGAGTGTTGGATAAAAAGCGCGTATCTGCATTTTTATACTAATCCCTTAACATCGGTTTGAAAGAACGCGCCTTCTGAGACTCATGCCAGAATCTTGGTTAGGCTTTTTTTCCTTAATATCGCCCAATGAGCGCGGGCGCGTTGTGTTTTGTGATTGTCCCACGCGCAATTTTCCTTGCATCGCGATTCTTTCCTCCACAACGTATTTCCCATTTTTTCCATTTTTATATTTTCTTCCGTCCCCTGGAGTGCACCATTGTCACGCGGAGGCCTTGTTTGGTTTTAATCATCCATCTCGACGATTTTAATTCTTTAAGTAGTTTTTATTCCTCTGTTTTTGCCCGCAGGGATTTTCCTGTCCCTGCACCACTCCAATCATTAATTTTGACGTTTCTAGAGATTTTTTTTACACCTTCGGTGGCAACGGGAGGGGATGTAATAACAAAAAAATCTCGCGTATGGAATATCTGCAATTCAAAGGAAGCAAAAGGATTTGCAGAACATCGCTGAAGAGGAACAACATACAACGAAAAACACGGATGGAGGCCTCAAAAAACGTGAGACTGACGAGAAAAGAGGATTAGAATAGATGATTATCTTAAAAGAAAGGAAGAAAGGAAAGAAAATAAAAGAAAAGAGCCTCTATCTAATTTTGTTTTTTTCCCCCCTCACAAAATCCCCAAAAATTAGTGATGAATTTTGAGCGCAAATGTTCTGTCACACTGGGAAAAAAAACACATTGGATCTAGAGTCCAGACTCTTAAAAACATCGACAAGAAAAAATACTCTTGATTCAATCAGATTTAAGCTTAAATCAAGAACCAAGCCTCTTAATTTGAGCGGATTTCCTTTTGATTTTAGCTTAAATCTGATTGAATCAAGAGTCCTTTTTATTGTCAATGTTTTCAAGAGTCTGGACTCCAGATCCAATGTGTTTTTTTTTTTCCAGTGCAGTATTCGAGGGTTAGGAAAGTTAAATACACCATTCGAATTGCCGATAGTTTATTCGAATCTTTCAATCTTTTTCCAATCTTATTCCATCTTTATCTTTCTTTTCAATCTTATTCCATGAGCTGTTGATAGCCCACAAGACCCTACATGTTGGTAAGGAGTCCTGAGTGACAACTGGTATTATGAGAAATCTTTTTTTGCTAATGATCTGTTTGCTCAGCAATAACGACTTTTATCATCAGAACTTAGCAGTCAATGGTTCCTTAATTGCGAAACAGCAGTTGAAATACTTAGAGCACCACTAATTGTCAATGATCTCATTAAAACGACACAGTCCATAGTAAATATTGCTACTAATTAATCAAAATTAACACTCATCACTAAGTACCCAGTTTATCAATCGAAATTTGATGGGTTTTGCGGTTGAGAGACACCACTCATATAAGTACCTCGTTCTAGGCGGTGGATCAATTAGTGGTAATGAGGAATATTTATTTGCTGATGTCCCATTCACTTAGCTTCTCTTTGCAATTGACCTGTTCTGCGATAATGAGAATTATTCCTTCACAGAGCCTTTGGTGGGGTGAGGCCAAGCGTGACGTAGTGTCGCGTAGTATGATGTCAAGTTTGTCCAGAGAGAAATTAAAGCATGCAACAGATTTCAAGCAAATGCCAGGCTCACGCGAAACTTGCGTGGGTTTTAGTAGAATAAGTTGCTGACTCTCGTAGAAAACTGACTCGGTCCCCTGATAAGAAGGCGGAAATATACAGAAATACATTTTACAGGAGGGACGAAAACCTGATTTGTTCGTCAAACAAGATCACTAATTTTTTTTTTTTTGATATTCAAAAGATGGGTCAATTGGGTAAACACCTGCTTGGCAGTTTTGAAAAAAATTCCAGGTGGGAAAATTTACAGTTCCTTTTCATACCGAGTTTCTACGGAGACGTTTGGGTCTAAAAGTATTGAAGATTTTTCGCAAATTTTCGTCCTTTCATGCAAAACATGGGGTTACGGTCTCATGATAATAACGAAATTGAGAGGCGTTGCTACTTTTTTTTGCCAGAAAAACAAAAATTCTCAGGAAATGTGTAAGTACTATTCAAACTGTCAAAAACGCAAAAACATGAAAGAGTTCGAAAATTTGGATGTACGGCTCTCTATTATAAGCCAGTGCAATTAAAAACTCTAATTTTCAAAGTTTGCATGTATGCATTTCAAATCAACTATCCACCAGATCAATAAGGTACTTTCCCTGGGTCCAGCAGCTCTGCACGAGTAGAACTTGGATTTTTCCTCTCTTGCTCATTCTGTGAACAGGGATGATTCTTCTAAGGTGGCAACGCTATTTTTCCTCCGTTAAAGTCCACTTTCAATATCAATTCACCAAGAATCGACTGTTCAATATATATTTAAATGTAGAAAAAACAGTGTTTCCAAAAATTGAGTTTTTTCGGCCCACTTCTCAGCAGCAGGATCAAGCAGACTATGATAGGCAGTAGCGTGGCGTGCTTTGCGATATATCGATCGATCTGCCATTTGAACCTTTAGGAAAGGATCGATAAACAGGGTGTTCGCAGCGAACACCTTAATAATCGATTCTTTACCATAAGTTTGAGTGGCATAACAATCGATAGATCGCAATTTACGCCTCGCCACTGATGATAGGGCGAGGAAACCAAGAGGACTACAGTACTTAACCCCCTTCAAATACGGTTTTACCATACTTAATCAGGCAGGGGAAATGGATTACATTTTGAAATTTGGAACTACAAATTCTGGCTCAGTTTAGAAACGACGTGTGCACCATTACTTTCCATACATGTGGGCTAGAAATTGTATAGTTCCTAATTGCAAAATGCAGTCCAAATATTCCGTTTTTGCATGATCTCTCATAAAAGAGTATTGGATTCTGCGCTTCGCAGTCTGGAAGTGGATTTGCGCCACGATCGCCTTCAACTCAAACTGTTCAACATCTTGACCTTTACAGCCAATTTGTATCGCACTAATTCACCTCCAAAATAAGGATCTTTCAGATACGGGAAAAATACTGGGAGGAAACAAAAAGTATAAAGTGCTATCTCCCTAAGTAGAAAAACGAAATGATTATGACCGTACAGGGTTGTAATTTTTCCTAAAAAATGAACTCTGGTATTTCATGTAAAATATTTCACGATTTCAGAAGATATTGAGAAATATTTTTGTAATTAAAAGCAAAATTGATTATAAGGCAATTTTTTTCCTTTTTGGTGTTTTTTAGTGTGTGTTGCATACCCAGTCCCTAAAAATATGCTTGATATACCTCACAACTTTATGAAATTTCATGAAATGTTCCACGGAAATTTCCAATTTTTCATTTCACTTGCGTAACCCCGCCTTTCACTGGTAGCGGGACCTTGACGCAGAACTTTCCGGCTCAAAGTCGTTTTTATAAAATATTAGTTTGTTTTGTTTGAAAAAACAGTCACCATTTTTCCTGTAAATTTGACTTTTATCGAAAGAAATATGGCAATATCTATAGGCTCACACGACATTTTTCCTTCGCAGGGCAGAACGAGTCGTTCAACATAATATGGACTAAATTTTGCAATTCGGAACTATAACTTCTGGCTCATTTGTAGAAACACTTTTGTGCATAAGGAAACTAATGGCACATACGCTGTTTTTAAACCAAGCCAGATATTATAAATCCAAATTGCAAAATGTAGTCTATATTATGATCGGCAGGCGAACATCGATTCTTCGAGACTACATCCAGTGCGTGGAGGTTGCGACCATGGGAATAATTTCTTTGTAATAATTAGTCTCCCTGGCTGTTGATGCGAATAGATTCCTTTCAAATTGGAATTGTCTCTTTTGTCAATGCTCTGCCCGGAGCGATTAATGACTAATGAGGCGCATGATCCGTCGCCTCGCCGGCCGCCGCGCTGCGCCGCCGCAAACGGGATTCAGATCTCGAATCGAGAACAGGTCCAGACGATTGCCTTTGTCTTACTCCTGGAAGGCCTTTGTGATGCTCCTCGCGCACGATCACCTCTCCTACATTCCACCGGTCCGCATTCAATGCACCCCTATGTACACTTGGCTCTATTGCCAAATCTCATCACATTAACCTGAGGTAGATTACAGAGCCTCATATTACACCCGCGATATGTGAAAAGGAAAATCGAGTGAGTTCATTATTTGATCAGTTCTAATCAGTGACGTGGCGTGCTTTGCGATAGGTCGATTGATCTGCCATTTAAACCTATGGAAAATGAAATAGGGTATTCGCAGCGGGCACCTTAATAATCGATTCTTTACCGCAGGTTTAAACGGCATATTAATCGATACATCGCAATTCACGCCACGACACTGCTCTGGGAAAAAAAAACACATTGGATCTAGAGTCCAGATTCTTGAAAACATTGACAGGAAAAAATACTCTTGAGATATACTCACAAGAAAAAATCAGATTTTTGCTTAAATCAAAAGGAAATCCGATCATATTAAGAGGCTTGGTTCTTGATTTAAGCAAAAGTCCGATTGAACCAAGAGTATTTTTTCTTGTCGATGTTTTTAAAAGTTTGGACTCTATAGATTCAATGTGTTTCTTTTTCCAGGTTCTAATTGAAGCGCTATGGTAAGGGCATTTCTTGGTTGCGGTGTCGCAGGATCTGCGTTAGCGTTTTATACTGTGATTAAAGCGAGTGTATGAAATTCATTATAACGTTTACCGAATTTTTTTATCAGATTACAATGTTGAAAACTAAAAATTCCAGAATAGCCGTCCTCTAGATTTCTCTCTAAGATATAAATTAGCAGTGGAGATTCTGAAACGACGCAACGGAGAATGCCCTATCTGCATTGCACCCAACGTCTCAATGTTACAAGTAGATCCCTCTAATATGATCCTTTCGACCACATAAAGGTAGAGCGCTGCAAACAAAAAATGAGGTTACATCTTCAATTGTCTAGAGGTGTTACGGCAAAATCGGAACTTTGAAATTCAAGGAGCAAGAACGATCACTAGGTTTTCACTTGCTTCGTACCTAAAATCTCATTAAAATAGATTTTTTTAGTTTCTTCATTTTTCTCAAAGATTTACAAGTGCAATGACTACATTTTGTCGGCTAAAAATAAACGAACTACATTGTGTAATTTGGAGTCTCAATGCCTAGCTCAGTTTAGAAACGACGTATGTACCATTAGGTTCCCTATGCACTTGAGTGTTTTTAAGGATAGACTAGAAATTTTAGTTCCCAATAGCTAAAGGCCGACCGCCGAATATTTCACCAGGCTGACCATGGTTGATTTATCCAGTTGATCCATCCAACCTATCCTATTGGAGAGAATTCATCACCCACATTCAAATCACCAATAAGGCAAGTCAAGATCTGTGGTTAGCGTAAGTTTCTCCGTTCAAAAAAAGAGGCCAACTGCAATCGCAGACTGGTAAGGGTGCGAATCAAAAGCGTAGCGCAAGGTCACCAGGGTCAAGGGTCTGGGCGCGACCTCAAGGACCTCTTAAAAAACCCTCGAGTCTGAGGTCACGGCTGGCTGGTCGCTTTTTTGACTCGGCTTTGTTCCAGCTTCGAAAATTGACCACTCGACGGGATGAAAATAGGCTAA